ACACCACACACGCACACACACACACACAACACACACACTACAATTATTCACTTAATCCCTCACTTAAAGCTCACAGCTTCACATCTCACGAAACATGTTAAGGATTAGACTTGAATTTATTTTCCCAGTTTAGCAAAGAATTTCATTGTTTCTTATTGAATTCTAAGGTGGAATTTAGGTCACGGAGAAGAGAGCGGATAGAAAACTCACCAAATTTCGAAAGCGAGGGGCAGAGATAGAGGAGTGGCAATGAGCAGGCGAGGAGAAAGGGAAGGGTAGGGGAAAAGAAGAAAGAAGGGGAGGAGGGCGGAGAAGGAGAGACAAAGAAAAAAGGGGAAAGCTAGGGAGAGGAGAAAGGCGAGTAAGACAGATGGATGATGAGAGGGTTGATGGAAGGGAAGAAACGTACACGGACACTAAAGAAAACATGAGACTTCTTGGTCTTGAATAAACCTGTAGCCAGCCTACAGCAAGGCTACATCAAAGCTTTCGCAAGACTACATCGCAAGACGAACATAAATTAAATACGCATACAAGAAGTCTCAGCAGGAAACGTGAGAAGAGGGATGGATGAAGAAGATGGGTGAAGAAGAGAGATGGGGTGAAGGAAAAAGACGGGTGAAGAAGAGAGATGAGTGATGAAGAGAGATGGGTGATGAAGGACCATGTCAGCTTCTCCGTACAGTCCTGCAGCCGCTAGGTAAACGAGGCTGCGAAGTAAGTTACGTACGGCCGTGTGACTCCATCTGCTATATTTGTTAATTTGGTTCCGTGGATCACTGTTCTCCTCTGTGTCCTCAGACTTGACTTTCATAACTTTAAGATGATATTACATGATTAAAAGTTAATACAGAGGAAAGTCAAGATATGTATGCTGTATATAGACAGAAGTAAGATTTACCTGCCACCTTAAGTATTTATGATAATTATTTATTTTATAAGTTTAAGTAACCTAGTCTAACCCCAACGTAACCTAGCCTGACTTAACCCTACCTCTCCTAATCAGACTTAGAAAAACTAGTATTTATCGAGTTAGAAGAAACGTTAGGAAACAAAAACACGGAACCTCGTTGCTCGACCAAACTGCTAGACAAACATTGCAAAACAATAGACGGTGATGCATTGAACTTCTTCGTTAGTTCACTTTCTAGAGAAAGAGTTGTTACCGTGATGCACGTAGCAGAACTGACCTTGGAATGTGAGGGCAGAGATGTGGATGCAGATGATATGATAGCCTTCAGGAGATCATCTGATTGAATGAAATTGGCACAGATGCGTGTAGGTGTCTGTGAACCTGTGGAATGTTACTCTCTCTCTCTCTCTCTCTCTATGTGTGTATATATATATATATATATATATATTATATATATATATTATATATATATATATATATATATTATATTTATATTATTTATATTATTTATTTATTTATTTATATTTATTTTTAGAACGATTGTAGCTTTTTCCTAGCAATGAACATGATTTGATAAGGTAGCGTGTGCTACTGGCAGTAATGGCTACAGTAAGACTAAACCTTGTAACAGCAGGCGGGGCGACTGCAAGTTCTTAAATTCCCTCACCAGCAACATTCTTTTTGAATTGTTACAGTAGCCAACACAGTCCACTGGTTAGACTGGACTGAGGGAGAAGTATGCTAATGCGCGGCTTCAGGTCTCTCTCATTATATAAAAACATTGTAATCTTTCTAGACCTAGATATGATCAAAGAGATTTTTGTTTTTTAAAAGAAAAACATTTTTTTTTTGCAACTGATGTCTCAGTAACATTACCTGAGATGCTAATATTATTTGAGATTCTAACATTACTTGAGATGTTAACATTTCTGGGATTCTTACAGAAACAAAGATGGTCCATATGTTAGGGAGATCAGTTGGCGGATGCTGGGCCATAAGTACACGGCACACCGTTCCTTCTCTCTTTTGACACCATCCCTAGGATCTTTCCTCTCTCTCCTTCCTTTAGTTCTTTCAACATTTCCAAACTCTCCTTCCCTCAATTTCTGGGACCATCCCTATCATTTCCTTCCCTCTCTTCTGAGGACCTAACCTATGCTTCCTTCCCTCGATTCCTAGAACCTTCCTTTTCTCTCTTTCCCTTACTCCCTGGAATCTTCCCTATCCTTCCTTCCCTCACATCCTGGAACCCTTCCTATCCCTCCTTCCCTCACATCCAAGAACCTTCCTATCTCTCCTCCGTAGTGGATAGTCTGAAACTGTTATCACATGTACCTGTGATTCCATCAACCATCTTAATTACGGGTAGCGTTAGACCGTAGTTCCTCTGGTTCTCCTTTCTTCCAGTCTCTTTGAGCAAACTTATCTTGACGTTGATGAAAGGAATCTTCACACGAAGAACAGGAAGTTACTCTCCTCTACTTCCATCATATCTAATTCCCCTGTCATTCCCTAAGCCATTTTCTCAGTAAATATGATATGCAAATAAGTCCTCCGGTAATGCGAGATGCACCCTTTCATTTCTGCCCTCAAAGTTCTTGTATAATAGCTCTGGCATCTATCTTTTGGTAAATTATTTTGTCTAATATCTTTACTCGTTTAACTAGGCGAGAGCTATCTCAGTGTTGGCTCTGTATAATGAAGATTTTTCTTTATACACAATGTGTCTGTGTCGCTCCCAGATAGAGATTTATGAAGCCATTGACATTCTGTCGTAGCTGTAGGTAGCAAGTCTTGCCTCTCAAACTTTCTCAGCGATTTCCTGTTCAGCTTCATTACTGTTGCTCTTATGTCAAGTAACGTTAAATGTGCTGCAGATGTTACCCAGTTAATGTGTGCCTCGGGAGATAGATTTCTTATAGTTCCGACCTGCAAGTCTTAATTTCTGAAGCCTTCAACTTTTTTAATCACAGATGGTACATGGATGGACTTGGGCCACTCCCTGTTTGTGGTACAATCGCTCAGGGTTGAAGGTTTCTTGATACGCTCAGCCTGGGTGCAGGATTCCTTGCTATTCACCCCCTGGAAAGTTGCTATCAGGAAGGTGTGGCCTTGTAAGGACTCTCACTGGAGAGGTGTTCCCGAGAGACTCACAGCTCGGGTCGATCTGCACCACAATAAAGCTTCCAGGAAGCTCACAGCTGCTTGAAAATGTTTCCTTTTTGATATATAGAATTGTAAAGCTCTCTTGATGCGCACTTATCACACTGTCCAAACATACACACACACACACACACACACACACACACACACACACACACACACACACTTATCAACCTATTCTAGGCTAAGAAATATCAAAGTAACTGACTCACGAAATCGTAATAACACGATTGCAAACAAACCAGACCACGGGCGGGTGCCTATACTAACCTTCATATGGTGCAGATATACACCTACTTGGACGAATCTTATTGAGGCTAGCTGGCCCAGTGGCTAACGCGACGGCCTGGAATTTTGAGACTTTCTGACCGCGGGTTGAAATCCCGCCCGTGGTATGGTTTAATATCAAAGTAACCTTCATGAACCTCAACAAAGAATCTTTCAGGATTTTGGAAACAACGTATGTCAGTTCTCTCTTAAAACATACCGCAAGATACACAGCCGACGTTTCGGTCCATCCTGAATCATTGTCAAGCAGCGATAATGGTTCAGTACGAACCGAGACGTCACCTAGTTTAAATTTATTTTTTTGTGGGTTAATTAGGCTAGATAAGATTTGTCAGGAAACGGGACAAGTGTTTCCTGACGCGGGTCTTTGTCACTTGATGACCCGCCACTGGAGCTTGTGGTGATATGACCGAAGCCTTCAACTGGCTTACTCCTTCACCTGTTTAAAATTTAAATATGACATATTGTTAACTTATAATATGTTGTGAATTACATCACAACAATATATATACTCCCTCCTCCTCTCCTTTTCGTTAGTGTTACTTTGTAAATGGTCCAAGTCGGACCGATACGTCGTCGTAAGCTCCTCTCTTCATGTACCTCGTTCATCTTCCTTACTTCCACAGGCACGAGACTCCAGAGGGAGGAGTCTACTGCGTCTCCAAGTTCTACACTAATGAACTCGACAATAATTTTAGAAAGGTGAGCTTGTGAGAGGCTGAGAGAGAAAGGTGTGTGTGTGTGTACTCACCAATTTGTAGTTGCAGGCATCAATTCACAGCTATTGGCCCCGCCTCTTCTCTGGTCGCTACTAGGTTCACTCTCTCCCTGCTCCATTAGCTTTATCGTATCTCTTATTAAAGCTATGTATAGATCCTGTCTCCACTATGTATGTGTGTACTAGTATTCTGAAATCTTAACTTACCTTTGGGTAACGAAGCTGCGTTCCCTTAACTTCCGGCGTCCTGTACCTCATCCCACTGCCGATACTCTCCTCCCACTATATAATCTGTATTTACTCATACCATGATTATAATTATAACCTTCGCTTTTAAAGGGGTGAAGGGGTAAGCCAGTGGAAGACCTCGGTCAGATGACCACAGCCTCCAGCGGCAGGTCGTCATATGATTAAGACCAGCGTCAGGAAACACTTGTCCTGTTTCCAGACGAATCTTACCTAACCTGACCTAATACTCATCACGTATTTGATCAAGGTCCCGTGAGCGAAACGTTTTCAGTGAAGGTGTCCTATACACATGCATTTGTGTTCTTTGCTCTAGTTGTCGACATTGACAACTCGGGTCCTTGTAATGTCCTCCCCCAGGATGCGAGCCACAACTCCCCACTAATTCCTAGGTATCTATTTACTGCTAGGAAACAGGGGCACGTATTGTGTCTCTTCGTTCTGAACCTTCCCTTCACAGTCATCGTCCATCCTGCAAACGAGGATTGTGTATGTCCTAATTAAGTATGTCCTAATTATGTATGTTCTGATGATGTATGTCCTGATTACGTCTTCTCTTCGGTTAATTTACATAGCATTTCTTAAAGCATTTTTTCCCTACACTTTCCGACCTTATAGGCCTTTGCTGGTTTTTCGAGTTGGTCTCTCAGGCTACATAGGCCTCCTTCTGGC